CTGATCCAGACGAGCGGGTCTGCCGGAGCGGGTATTTCTTTGGGGTCACAGGGGCAGGCTGCTGCTGGCTGCGGGTCACCCTCCTCGTGGAATAGACTGGTTCTTCTGCTCCAAACGAGGGCGGATTGCGAACCGGGCTGGAATCTAATTTCATGGAAACGCCATAATTACACCCACAGGAAGCAGTGAATGCCAGTGAACTGCCTCACACGTGCTCTGATAGCACCACGGGGTAACAGCACAGGATCCTGTGCAATCACTGCGCATTATCGCAGATATGATATACACTTCTAAGATTAAATCATCACTTCTACAAACACCGATGGACCTGGAATTTGATTCACTTTCTCTGAGATGATAACTGAATCGATTAGGAATTACAAACAGCTCCCATTCAGAAAGCTTGTAGTGTTTAACTTAGAAAACAACCATCAGCACTTAGAAAACTCTTGAGAATATCAAAGCTGCTTCTGGTATGGAGGTACATTTGGGACACCACATATGGTTTTACAAAGACATGCTGCTCAAAAGACAATAAAACAGATTATTCTGCATGAAAACAATGCTTTCACACCCTAATAGCATTATAGGCATCCCACATACCAACCCAAATCGCTCCTCCTTCTGTTTTTGAGGCCTAACCACCAGATGACTGTGCACATAAGTTTTTTCACCTACAAGAAAATCCATCACAAAACAGTGCATGCACAGATGGAAGGAACAAACTTACCTACTGTCATTTTCTTAATAGCTAACAGCCTAGGAATTGCTATCTGAAAGCTAAAAACGAGGAGGTGGACACGTGCTTCCTCTTTTAAATTGGATGCAAAAGTAGAAGCATGCAAAATTTGTTGACATTTTGCATCAGCAAATCCTGAAAACACATCTTTCCTTGCTGTATAGAAAACCCCAAAGAAACAAAGCAAACGACAGCAACTTTTATCCCTAAATGCTCCCTCTCGAGCTTGCCTATATAGTTATATTTAACTAACAGGATAAGTTGACAGAGTTCTTACATAAATCAGGCAAAGCAGAATCATGGGTTCATAGAATCATAGAATCACCAAGGTTGGAAAAGACCCAAAGATCACCCAGCCCAACCATCCACCCATCACCAATAGTCTCACTAAACCATGTCCCTCAACACAATGGGTTTGATTTCTATCTCCTCTAATAAAGAAACAGCTTTACTTTTAGAACTGAGGATGCTCAAGTTTTCCTTTCTGCCACCACTGTAATCCTTACGTTATGCAACCTCATATGTTTGCAATCTGCAGTCAGAAAGACTGGATTTTACTAAGATACAATAAAACCCAATGAAAAAAGTTACGTATTCACATTTGGGTGCGAAACTCCACGTGTTTAATCTGTGAAAGTGAATGTGGAGCAAACCGAGCCTCCTGCCAGTGGTGTGTTTAAGGAGATACATCTTTACCTTGGGAGCTCTGGCTGAGCCTGGCTGAGGAGCGGGTCACACGGGCGGATCGCCGTGATGTGGCATCGCTTTCAGAGCTGTCTGTATGCTCCGGATCTGTGGAGAAATCGGAGTCCTCTGTTCCATCCGAGCTGCTGCCCGCGTTCCTCTGCAACAACAGACGCAGACGTTAGCAGGGATGCTAACCACAACCACACGGAAAGCAGGTGGTGATAACGTACAGTTGACACAATCACAGAATGGCCAGGGTTGGAAGGGACCTCAAGGATCACGAAGCTCCAACCTCCTGCCACACGCAGGGCCACCAACCTCCACATTTCATAGCAGCCCAGGGCCCCATCCAACCTGGCCTTGAACACCTCCAGGGATGGACGGGGCATCACAGCCTCTGGGCAGCTGTTCCAGCACCTCACTGCTCTCATAGTGAAGAAATCATTCAGACTAATAATTTCACGACAGACAAAAAGCTTTGTGTGTCATCCATACAGCATCGTCACCCTGAAGGCCCAGCTGGGCACAAGGGGGAGGTGGTGGGGAAACAGACGGGCTCTGCCAGGGGATGCGTTGGTTGTGCATCACTGAGAGCAATACGGGCTGGGAAAACAACGGAAAGGAGCGCAGCAGGCAACGAACGCGGCTGCGTTCACCCGAGGCCGCAAGAGTGGCTACTGTGAGGAGAGCAGCCCCGAGAAAAGAGGTGGGAACGGCACCGAACCCCTCAGAGCGCACACCGCCCTGCGCCGCTTTGTTTTGCGTTCTACAGCGACTCGTCGGTCTCGGCCAATCGTAACGCACGTGGGTGGGGCCGAAAAGGCGATTCCGCCAATAGGAGCTCGAGGAGAGAAGGAGCATGCCGGTAGGGTGTGACTGACAGCGGGCGACAGCCAATCACTGAGAGCTTCGCTCTCACAGAAACATCCACCCCGGGGGCGGAGTGGGATGGGGGGAAGGGAGGAACAAGGCACGCGCGGGGAGGTGACCGTTGGGAGCGGAGATTGGCAGCCATGGAAGCCAATCAGTGGCTAGCCCGGCAAGACAGCCCAGCCAATACGGCGCCGGCTCTTCGACCGTCTGTCCTATGGGAGAAACCGAGAGGAGGGCCGCGCTGCAGGCGGGGGGGGGAGGAAAAGGGTAACCGTTGGGGGCGACGAGTGACGGGCGGGGCGGCCAATCAATGCTGCGCGGGACTCTGCGACAGCCAATGAGGGAACGAGTGGGGCGGGCGCGGGGGGGCTGAAGGCCGCTATTTTCCCCCTGGTTTTCTACCGGTAAGAGGTAATTGGAAGGGATGGGAAAGCTGGAAGGCTACGTCCTGAACCTACCGCTCCCTCCCCAGCCACCTCCCCAGCTCCGCTCACCTTCCTGCGCGGCATCCTCGGAGGGGGCGGGGGCAGCGAGGCTGCCTGGTCCCCGGCGCCCCCGGCTCGTGAAGCGGCGGTGGCCGCCGTGTTAGTGCCGGCGGGCTCCGTGGTGACGGCCGTGTCGCCCGCCCTACGGCACGTCTGCTCCGGCGGCGCCAGCGCGCTCCCGCCGCCAGCCCTGCTCCCCGCTCGGTCCCTCACGCTTCCGCCGGGACACGGCCCACACCCCCTTGTCACGTGACCCCGCCCGAGACTCACGCCAGCGGGAGCCGCCATCTTTGTTTGGGCGTTCCAGCGGCGAAGTTGGTGGCGGCCATCTTGGTTTTGGGCAGAAGGGCTCTCGGCGGGAATCGGGGCGCCGGCGGCGGCCATGTTGAGTGAGGGCGTGAAGTCAACGAGCACCGCGGACCTCCGCGGGCGCCATCTTGGAGCCGGGCAGAAGCGCGCCGTCGGGGTGATGGAGTGATTGGGTGGAGGAAAGGCGGTGAGTCCCCGTTGATTTTTACGGCGGAGGCGGGGAGCGGCTGCCGGCCCTCCTCGTCAGGGGGTGCCGCCGTCTGCCCTGCGCACGGCCTTGCCTGGGCCGCGGCTGCTCGCTGTGGCGGGCGGGCCTGGGCGGGCCTTGCAGGCCTGAGGCGCTCGGGGCCTCCTCCCTCCTTCCCTCCCCTCTCTTCTGTTCCTTAGACGGGCCTTTCCGTCGGTTAAACTTTCTTTTTTCCTCAGGGGGAGGTTTCTATATATATGCGTGTATGTGTGTGTGTCAAGATTTACCCGTGTGTCTCTCTCCCAGCTCGGGTTCCTGTGGCATGGAGACGGTTTTCCTTCGGCCCGTTTGTTCAGACGTGAGATCTCTTTGCAGCCAAGGTTATCTTTAGGGATTATCGAATTCTCGGGGTTTAATCCTATATCCCGTGTCTCACTTCGTCATGCGAGTCAGGATGCTTCTTTCATTGCCAGTTGTTGCTGTGAGGTGTGCTGGATCTGTGGGATGCTGGAAGGCAAACCTGGAGGAAACTGAGGGAGCTGGGCTTGTTCAGCCTGGAGAAAAGAAGGCTGTGGGGCGACCTTATTGCAGCCTTCAGTGCCTAAAGGGAGCCTGCAAGCAGGAGGGGAATCAACTCTTGGAAAGGGGCAATAACGGCAGGACAAGGGGAAATGGTTTGAAGTTGAGGGAGGGAAGATTGAGGTTGGATGTCAGGGGGAAGTTCTTTGCTATGAGAACAGTGAGGTGCTGGAACAGCTGCCAGAGAGGCTGTGGATGCCCCATCCATCCCTGGAGGTGTTCAAGGCTGGGTTGGATGGGACCCTGGGCAGCCTGGGCTGCTATGAAATGTGGAGGTTGGTGGCCCTGCGTGTGGCAGGGGGTTGGAGCTTCATGATCCTTGAGGTCCCTTCCAACCCTGGTTGTTCTGTGATTCTGTGAGGAATTCAGATGGAAAGTCTGCTTTTGTCTAAAAGGAGAGGAATGGGAAGCTGCGCATGTGGTATGTGAGCTGGGAATGTTTGCATTGGTGGCAAATAGGGATACGTTTTGTGTAAACATTTTGCACACTAATCCCCTGAACAACCTATTCATAGGAATCTGACGAGTTGAGTGTCTCAATTTGCAGTAGAAAGCACTGCAGGAACGCAGTAATTCTTCCAGCTTCATGAGAGGAATGGACTGACAGGAGCTCAAGCGTGTCTCAAATTGCATTTGATCCCCAACATCTCATGAACTCTATATAACAGCTGTCAGTCTGTTAGACTGACCTGAAATGCTTAGTTTAAAAAATGATCTGCGTGTAACTAAAGCTGTTGCCTAAAAGGGCAGTAGGAATGGGAACAGAGGAAAACAACACACTTCTCCTTAATAGATAGAGAAGGGAAGCGTTGGTCTGAATACATTATAGTTGTTGGTGAGACCTTGCCAGAGTGAATGTGCATCATGTTGCAAACTGATGAAGGGCTTTAATGGAAATGGAGGACAGTCAGGGGCAATGAAAAAGCTTCTAAAAGGCTTATCAACTGCATCATCTTTTTTCTTTTTTTTTTTTTTTATCTTTTTCTTACATTAAGTAGACTCTATCTGTGTTAAAAGAACTGCAATTAGCTTAAAAGGTGGTTTCAGCGTAACATAATTGGACTTTGTAAGTATCCAAATTGAATTACTGCTTTGCTTGGATGAAAAAGAGAGGAGAATGTGATGCCTGTGTAAATTCAAAGGGTTATAAGTTACCACATCCCAGTGAAAGAGTCGCTTGTCAGTGGTTGCTGGAGGATTCCTCTTTTGTAATCTGTGCATCACGTGAGAGCTACATCTTTTAAGTATATTGGATAAAACAAGAAAAGCGTTAACTGGAACTTCTAGGTGTCACTGCTGTTCTGAAATAACAAGTTAAGTACTAATGCATGTTAGCAGGACTTCTCACCATCAGCAGGATGTTACTGGAAGAACGAAGCAGACAAGCAGAGGTGGGTGGTGCTTAATAACTTTCCTAGAGGTGGCAGCTGTTGAGTAGCAGCCAGGAATCCAGTTCCCCATGAGGTCTGATTGTGTCCTGCTATTTAAAATGGCCATGCAAACAGTTCTCTGCAGTTTGAAATGATGTAACTCTACACTGCCCAGTGTGTTTATACAGTAAGGTGGTAATGATGGCCTTACATCTGTGGAACTCTTGCATGCTATAAGAAGAATAGTGGTCAGTTGTGTTATCATAGAATGGCCTGGGTTGAAAAGGAGCACAGTGCTCATCCAGTTCCAACCCCCTGTTGTGTGCAGGTCACCAACCAGCAGCCCAGGCTGCCCAGAGCCACATCCAGCCTGGCCTTGAATGCCTGCAGGGATGGGGCATCCACAGCCTCCTTGGGCAACCTGTGCCAGTGCCTCACCACCCTCTGGGGGAAAATGTGTTGTGACCATGGCAGAGCCTTTAAGTCCTCTTCTGTATTCATACGTGCACATACTGATAGGGTAACGTGTTGTTGCCATGCTCCTTAAAATGCCTCCCAAATTTAGGCTGCTTCTGGCGGAAATAAAAATCCATGTATTGTTTTAATGGATCTGTGTGTGGAGGATGTGTGCGCCCGTGATTGGCTCTGGAAGGTTCCATTATCGACTTTTGTTGGAGCTGAAGTTGAAGGGCTGCTGTGGGGGAAAAGCAGAGAAACTGGAGGAGATGCCTCCTTTGTTGGCTTCGCCACTAGATGTCAGTGCACGAAACTGCAACCCGAGCAGGATGGACAAATTGGGAATCAGTGGAGGAGGAGGAATGATATTCGCTACTCATCCTTATGCCTCCTGGGGGTTAAATTCCCTGAATAAGGTCCTGGAGACACGTTTAGTGTCTTCACTGTCAGAATGTTCCAGGCAGGAAATGAGGAATTTCCTGGTGTTGCTTCTAAAGGAAGTTTAGAAGGTGCTTGATGATTTGAAGTTCTATGTTAAATGACACAAAAATGTGTGTTTTGCTTTTTAAATCCTAGCTTTTTGAATATGTACACCTTCTCAATTGCCGTGAAGGGCAGCAGGATTAGATAACAGCAAACCTAGCTGAATCTGTTGGTGTCTTTTTATGCCTTGATCTTCACTAATGTTCTTTGAAATCCAAGTGTCCTAGGTAAAGAGAGGGATCTTTTGCTGAATGTTAGCAAATACAGCCAATGAGAAGGGAATTTCCACCAAAAAAAACCCCAAAATCTTTGTGAACAGGTATGGACACCAATAGGTTGAAATTAGATTGTCCAGTTTTTTGCCTTGGTTCGTGCTTGCTCTGGCACAGAGTCTGTGTGAGGGATCTCAGTGTAGCCAGCTTAGGTCAGTGGTGGTACAGGGTAGGCTGCTTGTGTAGGAACTGTTCTGAAGCAGAATGAATGCTCTGGGTTTTTCACTTGCTTTGCAGATCTTGAAGCATTCACTTTAATTGCTTTGTGCTCTTTTTGTTGTGCTGCATTCCTACAGGGTTAATTTACCTGCTTCAGCATGTTTTAAAGCAAGTGGGACAAACGCTGGGTGATGGGAATCTGCTGTAGAAAGATCTGAAGTGCTGCGTTTCAACGATTCTTGCTTGCTTTTAGGTGTTCTCTCAGACCAGCTGTGGGGGCTGCAGGTACTCAGAGACGCACCATGGCTGCATGCTGCAGCTCCCTGCAGTGCTGCCACACAGACGTGAGGATCCAAGGCTGCCACTTCACTTTGTGTTCACATCTTCGGCGGGTGAGTGGAGTTGACTTTGATCTGGTTTGGGTTCCAACCTTGTACCCTTGAGTGTCTGTTCTGTAAGTGTGGTAAGTCAGGGCAATGGAGCAGCATGACAGAGCCTCGAGATATAAAGCTTGAAGAATCTCTGCTCCCAGCTTGATGTGTCTTAAAGGCCTGTACTGAAGTGGGTCGCTCTTACTATAAAATAACTGAAGCCTGGCTGCTGCTTGCTGGGTATATTTTTGGATAGGTCCCTGAGCAACCTGATCTACTTTGGCTCTTCTTTAGAGCAGGGGTTGGAGCCTAAATTATGTTTACTGTGACTGGTGGGAAGCTTAAATTTGGTTATTGCCTGGATTAAACATAGTATAGACAGTGACATGCAAGCAAGTTAATTGCTGGTATGTGTATGCAAATGGCAGAAGGTGCAAAACACAGAATTTATAGAAAACAGGCTGTGGAACCTGGGCTGACAACCAGCATAGCTCTAGGTATTTTCTGAGCCTTGGCTTCTGTTCAGCACTGAGGAGACCAGCTCTCTCCTCTGGGCCTTAGCACACATCAGAAATAAACCCAACAGCAACAAATGGATTAACGCAGGCAGTAACAGTGATGAAATCACTTCAGACTGGGTTGATTTTTAGGTTGGCATCGTGGTATCTTTATTTTCTCACTTCCACGTGAATGCCAGCTGTTGCACATCTGAAACACTCCAGTTTTGAGGGTTTGTTTGCAGACAGTTCAGCAGCTGATAAACGACCTGTTTCCTTTCTTCCATGCCCTGTTCTCCGATAAAACAGAACAGGAGCCTGGCAAGCTGTATGTCTGCGGAGGGAGTGGGTGGCATCATTATTATTATTATTATTATTTGTAAGCCTGAAGCTTGTTTAGATTCAAATGGATGCTGTCTTGTGGGTATAAATAGTCAGGAAAACCCTTGTAGGAGAATTGCAACCACGTGCTGTGCATTGAGCTAAAGGCCTTGCAGAGCAGGGCTTGCTGTAGTTGTATAGGAGTGCTTTAGTCAACCTGAACAGAAGCCATCTACTCACTCCTTCCCCAGGGGCTCTGGCATGCAGACATCTGAGTAGAGCCTGTGTTTTATGGCAACAGAAGGAAAGTCAACCCAGCTTGGCCTGTATCTGTTTTGTTGTTTTGTTTTGGTTTTTTTAATTGTAACGGAAAAAGGATCCAGGCTGAGTCTGAAAGCAGAAGTTTTACACTTAGTTACAGCTGAATATAGCCACACTTCCTGCTTTCCTCCCTCCCCTCCTCCCTGCCTCCCCTGGGTCTCATAGCATAATCTACTTATTAAATAGTTGCAATAAAAGTACATTTTGCCCTAGCAGGACTAAAGCCTATTGGTAGGGAAGATATTTTTATGCCATCCTTGTCCTGTTCCTGCCAAAATGAGGGTGTTTTTTGGACTCTTGTCTGCTTTTGGATTTGTGATCTGTTCCTTTAATACATTCCTTCCAGTCTAGGCAGTGTTCCCCAACTGCCTGGCACTGATGTTAATGCCTTGCTTCCTAATCAATCAAGTCCACTCCATGCTTCCTTAAAGGAAAACTCTGCTCATGTTGTTCAGCCCAGTGACACAAACTTCCACAGGTGTAAGAAACGTTTGTCACTGGCAGATGGCACCAATGTGGGATGTGAAGGCCAAACTTTAATCCTGTTTGGCACCTCTGAGCCTCTGGGCAGTTCTTTCCTTAGAACTGACTTGGGTACTGTGGGCAACCAGCAGAGATTTAGTAGCTCAGTTTCCAGCTGTCCTAAATAACTTGATTATAGCAAGAACTTTGAGGCTATTAACGAGGGGTCATGTGTGTGTATGGTGGGGGCAGAATTTGTTTTCACTTTCTCCAGCAATAAATGCAAACTGCCTGTAAAATGGATGGGGAATGTAACTGGAGGAAGCGTGTCTCAAGATGGAATCAGTCACTTCTATCTGTTCTTATGTTAAGGTTCACTGTCCTTTGTGTTTCTAGATCTGTATGTAGAAAACAAGATAGAGTCAAACAAGTAAAGATTGGGGTGAGCAGCATTACTGCTTTTGGGGGCTTGTGTCCTATTTGAAGTGCAGTGCAGCAAAATGGCTGTTCCTAGGTAAGGCTTATGTGCCAGCTGGAACTGCTGACTTCCTTTAAAACTCCTGGTTTTGTAATTATTCATGGCAAAAAGAACTGTTTCTTCCCATATGAACTCCTGGCTTACTGAGCTGTGAGGTGAGCCAAGTAGGTTATTTTCTTCAATGTCTGCATTTTTTCCTAATTACTTTGTGCCAGTTGTTACCACGCAGTTTTCTTTACCTGTGCTTCAAAATTCACAGGCTTCATGTTCTCAAAAGGCTCAGCAGTGTTTCTTCTGGAGCTCGTCTTGGGACTGCCTGGTATCCGAGAGAATAACACTCTTGTGCCAAACACAGCCTTTGACATAAACATTTTTTTTTCTGTATCACGTTTCTAACATTTTCTAATGTGATTCAGTTTCAGGAAGCGGAGAGGTGGTGCTGTGTGACTGAGCAGCTGTGCTTTGCCAGGCAGTGGCAGATGGGTGAGCTACAGCTCTCCTTGCTGACTCTTCTCTTTGCCAGCTGAAAAACCAGGGGCTTGCCTATCCTGAGAACATAAAGCTTCTCCTGCTGTTCTTCAACACGTTCCCTTAAGCAAGCTGTCGTTCCTTCATAGTTAACATTTTACATCTACTGCAGTCTTGTATTATTTTAGGAAATTGTATTTATAATTTCTGAACACAAGTGGCTGGGAAAGGCAGGAGAAACGAGGTCATCTCTTCAGGTAACTGGGAGTTGTCATTGTAGATTGCAAGTCCTGGCATCCTTCAGGTAACGCCAGCTCCTGCATAGGTGTGTGGCCTGGCACAAGAGTGGGGATTGCTGTGAACACCTTCATACTAATGATGATAAAGAAGCAAAGCAGAAATCCTGCGTCCAAGTTCCTTCAAGCATGTGATGAAAGGATCCCATGCAAGATAGTAAATTTATTTCCTTCTGTGTTTGTATTCCAGTAGGATGAACTTCAGGGTCACAGCAGTAGGATGATCAGGAGGCTGTTGTAGTGGGTAGAAGGAAGGCAAGCAGCAGTGGATGTGCTGAAGGTGCTCGTTGTGCTTTGTTATGGCTCTTCCTGCAGCAGGCACTGCTGCTTGCACTGTTTGTTTTTAAATGAGAGCTGCTCTCCTGGCTCTGAGTGCCTCCCTGGTTTGTATCCATCTGTCTGTTCTCCTCGGTCCTTGCATTCGCTTACGTGCTCTGTTCTGATGTTGGCAGTGCTGGATGTCAGTGAATACTTGGAGGTGCAATCTTCCTTTCTGTTTTATTGATGATTCATGCTGTTAGGAGATGCTTCCTGCCTTTCCATGACTTAGAGAAAGCAATCCTTTTCATAACGTCTCCTTACTCTTAGCAGAGCTTATACTTTGTTCCCAAAACTCCCACTGTTTTCACTGCAAGCATGACCAGACTGTGAAATAGCTTGGCTGGTCTGGTGAATAATCTGTTAGACTCTTTTAATAAACGGCAGTTGTATTTATCTTACTCCATAGGGCTTTTCATCTCAAAACATTTGAGTGCAGAAACTGTCCAGTAGTGAAATGCAGCCGTCTCTCTTGGAAACAGAGTGGGAGGCAGGCAGGCGTTTTACTACACGGTTTAGAGTGAGAGGAATTTTGTTTAAGGACAATGAGGGAAACTGAGCTTGTGTGCTCAATGACCCTTTGATCTTCCACGTTCATGCTGAGCTGATCCGGACTTTAAATCTAAGCTCTGTCTGCTCCTACCCATAGCGAACGGCCAGAAATGTCCCTCATTTAGGGCCCGAGCCTGCGCTAGAATGGCAGCACTGCAGTGACATCTGTTCAGCCTTGCATGTCTCCTGTCTGCTTGTTATTTCTATGTAGCTGTTCTGGGGTGGGTACTGGTTGCACTTGCAGGAGTAAATGGGGGAGGGTAAAGCCAGAGCTGTTAAACAGAGTTATTTTGCTGCATGTTTGTAAGCTGAGGAGCTGGGCAGCGCTGCAGCGCTGCAGCACTGAAGGCCGCTTTCTGGAGCGTGCTGCTTAGGTCAGCCCATAGCTGTAAGAGAACCCTAAAGCTGTGCGGTGTTTGCTCGGTGTGATGAAATGACTGTCTGCCCAGGGCTCTGAAAGCTGAGGAAGGTTAACCAGTGGTGAGGTTGGTCAACTCTGTGTGAGGAGAGAAGGCTGTAGAAACGGCTGTGGCAGATGCAATAGGAGTGGACAGACACAGTATGATAACGTGGATCCTTGACCTGCAGTCTTTGAGCAGTTGTAAAAGCTTGTTACTTTTGCTACCATGCAGCACATCATTAGGAAACTTAATTACTGGGAGGTGACTACATTGCGTAGGCTAGAGCATAGCCTGCAGGAATGTAGGAGCTTTAATTTTACAGTGCTTGTTTGTGGTGTATCTCTCCCCAGCAATGGCACAGCAAGGGCTGATCTTGTTGCACGTGAAACAAACTCAGCTGGCTGATAGTGTGCAGCTCATCTGAGCTAGCATGGCTGCAGCCCCTTGATAGGTGACAGCTGGTGATGTCTTGCTTCTTCCTATGTGGTAAAGCAAAATGTGGAGTTTTAAGGCTTGGAGGAAACATTTGATGAAAGCAAAACTTGGACTTGAGACAACGTGGTGCTTCGTTTAGCTGTGCTGAACCACTTTCATTGGAGTAGTCCTTGCAGTATTTATAGCATGAGATATGGTAAGAACAGCCAGAGGCACAGCTGTGTGACCTTTATGCTAAAACAAAACAACACAGAGGAGTGAATATTTTTACTTTGTTCCAGCTGTAAGTATTGGGTTCCAATTGCAGTGCCTTAAAAGTGTGGCAAAGAAACTGAAAGGTGAATTTGAATTCATAGGCTGGAAGGACTGACAGAATCCTGGAAGAAGGCCGGGTGAGCTGCCAGCAGTAGAAAGAAGTCACAATTCTCTGTTTGGCCTTTAAGAACACTTGATGTCCCCCTCAGCATCTTGC